ATTTCAGATTCATGAGCAAAATCTTGATTATTCATACCTGATGAAGTTGCTGAGTTGATTTGAGAAGTTGGTTCGGCCCACATGAAAAAATCGCACCCTCCTTGCTTCCATTTCTTACAACCTGGAATCTTTTCCCTGGATTCGTACTCGTCTTCGAAGTCCTCAATTGCGCCTTCTCTCCACATGAGCATAAAATTTCAGACGGAGAAGAAAATGAAGACGCTGACATCTTCGTGATTCTCTATTATTAATGTTTTGATAATTGAATTGAGTGATTGTGGTCGAAATTGAAGGTGGCGATTTTTAGGGTTCTTCGAATTGCCCTAATTTGTGCACGATCGAAATGGTGAATTAGGGCTGAATTTAGTGATTTCCTCAAATTAATACCTGGTCATCGGTTGGTCAACGGGTGTGGTGCGATTTTCCCTCCAAAATGTACATCCGTCCACGGTGGCATACACGAAAATTCCACGTATGAAGAGCCCGAAAAAGAAAGAGCCACGTAATAAATTAATCACGCCACGTCGGATTTTTATCAAGGGGGGGTGATTAGTGTGCCGTTTCCGACCAAAATGCCAACTTCGTGTCTCTTTTTTGTGCGTGCCAACATAATGTCTCTTTTGTTGACAACGACCAACTTAGTGTATCATTTTTGTAATTTTGCCATGAAAAACACAACATTTTTTTGGATAATAATTCTACTAGACTAGATAAAACACGAATTCACATCCCCAACACATTCAAAATTTCATAACATCAAACCAACGAAGATTAGACATTCAATCTACTAACATAAAAACATGTCAAAAATACTCCGTATGAACACCTATGGCATTCAAGTGAGCTCCACTCGAGCCATAAAAACCAACAACCATCCCCTTGCTACCCATATCCGAGTTGAAATATTTCCCTACCTCTCTACCAAAAGGACCCCATGCCTTTTTCTTCGTATAAAACTTGAGCGACTTAATCGTATCAACTCCCTCAATTGGCCCGTAAAATCCTTCCACTCCGACCAAGAAATCGTCCTCGTCCAACTTAAGCTGCAGAATTAATTCAATTCGACAAAGAGTAAGTCGGGAGTGGAAAAAAAAAGGTCAATCGTTTCGAACAAACCTGTTTAATTTTGCCGTGACACGAGCCATGCCAAGTAGAAAGAACATCACGACCATCCCTTCTCTCGTATAGAAACTGCACACCACATATGATGTCGATGTTGTTAACGAGACATATGTGAAGGTTGACTTCCTTGACTTTGGAGAAAACTCCATCATCCCACGGTTTGCCTCCTTCCACATTGCTCCAAGGTCCCGCGCTTCGTGGCAAAGGGATCGGGAATTCAATGATTTCCGATTCCTTCTTCACTGCCACCATTTGAATTCCAATTCCTTCTTCACGGACACCTTCCTAAGGTAGACGCCAATGGCATTAATGAAGGAGTCCGCTCGGCCGTGGAACCCTATGATCACTCCATTCTCGGCATGGAAGCTAAAGTGAGTGCCAGCTTGCTTCCCAAAAGGTCCGTGTTTGCAACGATTCGTGACTATTTCAAGGGATGTCACCATATTTCTGTTGTTGCCGTAATGTCCCACGGTCCCACTTATGCCCGTCAAAAACTCGTTTGGATAATCGATATCAAGCTGTAACGGCCCTTCGTATTAATAGGATCAAAACTTATGTAACATAAAAATCAATTGATAAAAAATAATACAAACCTAAATATAATATCAGTAGTATAAGTATACATTTTAGCTCATCCACTATAACGTGTCGACATGACTAATTGTTAGACCGGCTCACCCAAAAAAATTGTACCAATTAAAAGCTCGATCGATCGGTAAAACCATTGTTAATATTTCACATTATTCGCACTTACGAATTCCGTTTTGTCACCACCCTTTCCTCCAAACCTTTTGGTGGTAGCCTCGGCATGACCTTTGAACATGACGGAATCTATAACGCCGCCATGACGGATAATAATTTGAGTTATTCCAGATTCAGCCCTCCAATTCCAAGGCTTTCCAATTTGACCCCCCCATGACCGTACCGATATGTCGTCACCTGAGCTCCCATCATTTGCCTGCACAGTACATAAATATACATTATAACTATTTTTATAAGAATAAGAAAAATCAACACAGTTGATAAAGATTAAGGTAGGAAATGAGGACCATCTTGAAATACTTGCAGTCAATTTGGGGACTCAATATGTGATGCTGTAAATAAATTAAAATGCGTGCAATAATATTGCATTGTATAAATAGGTGCCATAATAAATAAGTACGCATGGAGATCGACTTTCGAAATTCAAGGGTGTTTGTAGGCTTGTAGCTATCAATGGCCTCTTGACTTTCCCAAATTCCGTCATAAAAACCGGTTCGAAGTCCTATCGCTCGAAGAGTTGAGGTCATGATGTTGGAATCTGAATGGACATAAGAATATCCGTGCAGATAAATTAGATTTTTTGAC